AAGTAGATTTCCTTTTTTTGATCTTTATATAGTGAGCTGTAGAAAGTTAAAAACAAATCAGCCATGAATATGTAGCTAGCAAAAATAAGTTCCATTCGGTTGCCTGTCCTCTGTGCTAAGAAAAAAAGATGAAAGAACTGGTTCTTATTGTCAGGGAGTATTGTAAATTTAATGGGGGAGGGCAACAGGTAAGTAATTCTATGTGATATTATGTGTTATATAAATATGCAAAGAGCATTAAGAAATAGAGAAGAGTATCTACTAAACTGGGAGTAAGAAAGCTACGCCAAGGTGAAAATGGGGAAATGGAAGAGAATGAACACTATAAGGATTTTTAGAGAAGTTGTATTTACTCAGGGCTAGTAGTAATTAACTTAAAAGGGTAATTAGAAACATACTCAAAATAGAGGAAATAACTTATGCAAAGAAGTGTACGTGATGGCATAGAATATTTTTATTGCTATAGAAAAGTAATGTAGCTCTGTGCCCTGTTTGTTAGTTCTCTGATCTTTAGTCTCTCTTGGTGTCTTTGCTCACCGATAGGGGTACATTTATACCAACCCTACAAGTTGGTTTTTTTTTAAGGTTTATAGATGATACATACAGAATATAATGGTTGGTATAAGTTAGGTTCTCAATTAATTGATGTCATTCGTAGTACAGCTGCTCACCACCAAGGGGAAAAATGTCTGACATTTTATTGTTAAAAATTTGGCCTTGGTTTTCTCTTAAATAGGCATCTTTCTATTATAACCTACATATTGCTTAGAACCTTTCGACTAGTTTGCTTCAGGATTGGAGGTGGAGGAAAAAAATACATAGCATTTTTCCTATGAAGACTAGGAGGAAACCAAACTTTGTTTATAAGTGCGTTTGAAATTAATGGTCAACAGTTTTGATACAGATGGCAAGCTTTCATTGTTTTGCCTGAGACTTGAGCCCCTTACTGAACTTCTGTAATATTCTATAAACTACAGTAGGAAGCTGTTGAGTTGAAAGTGGCCTGAGACCAACATTCTGACTGACAGAGGGTTCATGTTAACCTTTTCAGAAGTTATTTGCCAGCTAATGTTGAAATACAACCACAGGCAAATGGCAGACATTTAAAAAAAAGAGAGAGTGAAAGTGAGATGGGAGAGATTGGAGTAGGCTATTGATTAATAATTTTAAAGTAACTATCAGCGTAGATATGCTGTGGGATGGTAAAGGTAATCACAAACCAATTTAATTTATATTGGAAATATACTTTATAGGAAGGTAAAATAATAAAACCAGGAGGAAGATTCAGTTTTTATTTTTGTAGACATGTCTGTATTGTACATAAAACTCATTGTCTTTCAGTTTTTAGGAATCTCAAATTTAACTTAATTAAATTTGCACATTGACTGCACTAATCATATTGCTGAACATGAAGTTCCTCCTAGTTTCTTTGCCTGTAGAGAGGGAATTTAAACTTCTTTCAAATGGGATACCTAAGAATTTGATTGTCCTTTTATATATTTTCAAATGAGAATCCACTCCCAATCCCCAAATTTTATTTTCAACTGTGAAGATGAGAGGTGAAGATTAAGAAATTAATACCTTCATCTCTTTGTAACTGAAAGAGAAGCTAAATTATAAACACTGTATAGCACAGGGAAATATACACAAAATGTTATGATAACTCACAGAGAAAAAAATGTGCCAATGAGTGTGTATATGTCCATGAATGACTGAAAAATTGTGCTGAACACTGGAATTTGACACAACATTGTAAAATGATTATAAATCAATAAAAAATGTTAAAAAAAACACACACACACAAGGGAAGTTAAAAAAAATAAAGCAATAGAAGAGAGAAAAGAGACACTGAACACACTTTTACAAACTAATCTGTAGTTAGAATAGGAGAGGTGCTATGCTAACAGACGTGTATGGGTGTTTATCATAAACCAACCAAGCAAATAAAATCCTACCTTTTCACCTCCAAATAGGTGAAATCAATCTGTGTACTTTCAGATACTGAAATAACTATTTTTAGTGTTATTTTTATAACTTCTGTTGAAAATAGGTGTTAAGTGAGTGGGTATGATGGCTAGAAGTTGAGCTATCCTAGAAAAGGATTATGGTCTACAGAATGCACATTCTTGAATACTTGTGAATTTTATGTACTTAGCGACTGATGTTAAAATGCAAAAGAATAGATTAACATTAAAACAATTTTAAATGTATGTCTAAGGTATTTAAAAGGATTCTTTTCAGTATTTATTACATTAAGTAGCTCACAGTAATAGAGTTATATATAAAAAGAACTAATTAAATGTTGTATCCAAACGACTTTGCAGTACAGTTGTAACCTATTTTTATTTATAATTTGTTGAATTTTCTGAAAATAATTGTTGTGGAACAAGAGCTTTATTTCAATAACATTATAGTCTTGCATGCTTATTGGGTTTGTTCCCTTTGCTCTTTTTAGGATGGAAGCACTACATTACCATAGGTTGTTAGATGATGACGTTAAGTAGTGCTTAAATCTTTAAAATGTAAAGTATTAGGGACAGAGGCTTAGCTTCCTCAAATAATTGTTTTTCTTTCTAATAATTTTTAGGTAAATTTCTTCATGTCAACAGTTATCTTCAAGATAGCCCTATATCTCCAGATAAATAAATTAATTATTATATATCATATAGTATAGTAACTTTTGACTTAGTGATTCTTACACCTTAATTTTTTTATGCTTACTGTTGTTTTCAGAGGACATGTAAGAAGGGAAATCACAAAAGTTTACATTAAAAAAGTTGTGTACGTGTATATATGTAATGAACTAAGAATAAGGAAGAAGGTATAAAAATAGTGTTGTAATAGGCTTACTTCAAGTTTCAATATAGGAAGCTAACTACAGTAATTGTGTCCTTTACTTTTCTTTCTTTAGAAAGGGAAATAAAAGTCCAAAATTTAAGCAGTTTTGAAAAACAGTGGTGTTTTTATTCATGCTTTCACTGTAGGCCTGTTTCTAGATTGAAGAATAGATTAACTCTATAGGTCTTTTATAAGGTAATTTTATGATTTAAGTTCTACATCATTTGGTTATGAGTAGTTCACTGAAATGGACTTTATTCCAAGTATTTGTAGAATGTGCTATTGGATGGAATTATTGTTTTCCATATTCCACCAAGACATTTTCGTTAACCTATTTTAAGTTTGATTTTGAGAATTAATAATTCACACATTGTAGATTTCTACTCCATCCCATAATTGGATTTGAAGCACTTCAAAGGTTTAGGCAAATGAATGTTTTACTTTCTTTTTACTTAGAAATCGATTTTTAATTTATAGCATTATAACTTATGTTTTGACAGTAAGTAAACATGAGCATGAAGATATATCCCTGTAAACTTGTTCCTTCAAGCTAACAAATAACCCTATCCAATATGCGTACTCCTTTCTCCACTTTCACTTTCTCTGTTGATAAGCGATCTTTGTTTTAATAAATAAGTTAACTTCCCTTGATCGAGGCATTTTTTTCATTCCTATTTTTCTGAGAATAATTGCTTAAAAGAGAAAATTCACACTGTGTGCTTATTGGTGATGAAAGAGATGTTGTTTTTCAAGAACCACAAAGAAATTTTTTTAAAGCTAAAACATCAGCCGGTTAGTGCATTCTAGTCTTCTCTAAATACACTTTAAAATTTTTTTTATTTTATTTACCTTTTTGGAGAGGAGGAGGTAATGCTTGTTTGATTATTTATTTATTATTTTTTAATGGAGTTACTGGGGATTGAACCCAGGACCTGTGCAGGCTAAGCATGCACTTTACCACTTAGCTGTATATACCCTCCCTGATAAATACTCTTTAAGAATTGTTGTTTGTATTTAGAATATAATTTTTAACCTGTGGATATTGCTCTTTGACTTATGTTGCAGTTCAGTTCATTTTTGTTTTATTTCCTTTGTATAGATGACAGTCGAACTGCAAGCCAGTTGGATGAATTTCAGGAATGCTTATCCAAGTTCACTCGCTATAATTCAGTACGACCTTTGGCTACATTGTCATATGCTAGTGATCTCTATAATGGCTCCAGCATAGTTTCCAGGTAAGTACTGGGCAGCGCTCTTTACTGTTTTCTTTTGTATGAGTACCTCAAATTTAATTGAATTGGAGAAGCAGTTATAGTGTTATAGTTAAGAGCCTGTGTTCTGAAATCCAGATTGCCTGCCAATTTTTAGCTCTTTAGTTATAGGAAAGTTTCTAAATCTCTTTAGTCCTCAATTTATCTCTAAAATAGAATGATTAATAGTATCCACCTCATTGGGTTGAAGTTTGTTTTCTTGTTACGTTTTTGTCTGGTTTTGATGACCAGGTATGCTCTCCTCATAAGTGCTCTCTCCCCTTAAGTTTTCTGAAAGAGTTTATAAAGAACTGGCATTCTTTCTTCCTTACATATTTTGTACAATTTTCTAGTGAACTCAACTTGGTCTTGAGTTTTCTTTGAGGGAAGATTTTTAAATATAAATGCAATTTTTAAAAGAGATGTAGGGCTAATCAGGTTATCCATTTCTTCTTGATTGAGCATTATTTTTATTTTGTGACTTTCAAGGAATTTGTCCATTTCATCTAGGTTGTTGAATTTATTGGCATACAAGTGTTCATAATATTCCTTTATTATCTTTTTAATATCTTTAGATTCTATAATGGTATTCCCTTTCTCATCCCTGATTTTCAAAATTTGTTTCCCTTTATTTATTTATTTTTTTAATAGTCTGGCTTAGAAGTTTTCAACTTTATTTGTCTTCTCAAAGAGCCAGCTCCTGGTTTATTAATATTCTGTATTTTTCTGTTCTCTGTTTCATTGATTTCTACTCTTAACTTTATTGTTTCCCATTTTCTGCATTCTTTAGGTTTAATTTGTTCTTAACTTTCTAGTTTCTTAAGTAGAAACTGAAGTGATTGAGTTGAAACCTTATTTCTCTTCTAATATACATAACTTGTGTTATAAATTTCCCTCCAAGCACTGCATTAACTGCATCCCACAGATTTTGATGTGGTATCTTTTATTTTTTCCAAAAATTGTTTTATTGTGGTAAAATATACGTAACATAAAGTATACCATCTTAACTTTCCATTATATGTATGTACTACAATTTGGTCATCTGCCATCTCTCAATGGATACTTGCGTTGCTTCCATGTTTTAGCTATTGTGAATAATGCTGCTATGAACATGGGTGTAAAAATAACTCTTTGAGACCTTGCTTGCAGTTCTTTTGGGTATATACCCAGAAATGGAATTACAGGACCATATGGTAATTGTGTTTTTAATTTTTGGAGGAACCACCGTGCTGTTTTCTACAGGGGCCATATATCATTTTGCGTTTCTGCCAGCAGTGCACAAAGCCAGTTTCTCCACATCCTTGCCAGTGCTTGTTATTTTCTGTTTTTTTTTTTTAATACCCATTGTATTGGGTATGAGGTGGCATTGCTTAGATTTGATTTGAATTTCCCTGATGATTAGTAATATTGAGTGTCTTTTTCATGTGCTTAGGACATTTGTATGTCTTCTTTGTGAAAGTGTCTTCCTGAATCCTTTGCCCTTTTTTAAAATTAAATTTGTTTTTTAGTTGTCGAGTTTAGGGACTTTTCTATATATTCTGATTATTATTCCATTATCAAATTTATAAATATTTTCTCTCATTCTTTGGGTTGCCTTTTTACTCTGTTGATATTGTCTATTGATGCACAATTTCACATTTTTATGAAGTCTGATTTGTCTATTTTGTTGTTGTTGCTTGTGCCTATGGTGCCATATCTAAGAAATGATTGTCAAATCCAAAGTAGTGAAAAGAGTTCGATAGTTTTCGTTGTCTAATCCATTTTGAGTTAATTTTTGCATATGGTTTTAGGTAAGGATCTAACTTCATTCATTTGCTTGTGGTTATGTAGTTTTCTCAGAACCATTTGTTGAAAATCCTGTCCTTTCCCCATTGAATAGTCTTAGCCATCTTGTCAAAAATCATTTGACTGTATATGCAAGAATTTAATTCTGTGTTCTCTCTTCTATTCCATTGGTCTATATGTCTGTTTTTTATCAGTGTTTTATGATTACTGTGGCTTTGTACTAAGTTTGGAAATCAGGAAATGTGAGTTCTCCAGCTCTGTTCTTCTTTTTCAAAATTATTTTGGCTATTTCAGGTCCCTTGGAATTCCATGTGAATTTTAGCATGGGTTTTTCTATTTAAAAAGAAGCCATTGGAATTTTGATAGGGATTACATTAAGTCTGTATATCACTTTGGGAAGTACTGACATCTTAACAGTACCCAGCCTTCCAATCCATGAACTTGGGATGTGTTTCCACTTTTTCATGTCTTCTTTAGTTTATTTCAGTTGTGTTTTGTGCATCTCATTGTACAAATTACCTTCTTGGTTAAGTTAATTCCTAAGTATTTTTTTGATGCTGCTAGTGAGATATTTTTGGCAATTTTATTTTTAGACTATTCATTGTTATTGTGTCAAAGATATGGTATCTTTCCATTTTCATTCAGTTTAGGAAACTTTTAAATTTTAAATCTGATTTTATTTTGTCTCATGGATTATTGAGACTTATCTAATTAGTTCCCAAATATTGAGATTTTCTAAGTATCTTTCTATGATTAATTTATATTATTTGTATCTTCATCATCTTGACCATTGCTTAAAAATTTTAATAGAAGTTTCTAATATACCTAAAAATAGAGAAAATAGAAAAATAATCTGTTAAACAACTATCTCCCAGACTCCGCAGGAGTCCATATTTTGGTATACTTGGTTTATGTATACTCTTCACTCTTACTTTTCTTTGCATAAGTATTTTCAAGCAAATCTCAGGTACTATGTCGTTTCAGCCCTGCGTTCTTATGAAACTCTATGTCTTAACTTATGGACATTGTAAAACCACTGGGCTGTATCATGTGTCACATCTAACACAATTAGCAGTAGTCCATTGGTGTTATCAATTACCAGTCTGTGTGTTCAGATTTTCTAGATAGAATGAAAGAAGCCTTTAAGATGTTTTTGATGCAGGTCAGGAATTTGGCAAGTTTTAACTTGTTTAAAATTACTAAAAGTGCATGTGCTTTTCCATTTGCATAACTAAGATTTTTATTTATGTATATAAATATTGATCTTGAAATTCACGCCATTAGCTGAAGAGACTATTGCATTAAATCTTTAATTATGCTCAATCTTGGTTAACTTGATTACAAAGACAGAAATCATATATTTATTTATTTTTCTGTAATGTTGGCAATGTAAGTTTTTTTAATTATGCAGTGGAGTGATTAAAATTTACCTGATTAATTAAATGAGTAATTATTTGACAAAAATTCATTGACTAGCTGGTTTGTGTCGGCTAGGCTAGGAACATAACCACAAACAGGCCAGATTTGATGCCTGGATTCAGGGGAGCTCTCAATTGTATTTCAGTGCCTTTATAGAAGAAATAATATTGACCTGCTGTGTATATATATACCTGTAATTATATGGCTCTACCCAACTAAGATGTAATACAAATTAGAACTCCTCTTATAATACAGGTTAATGTCCCTCACCACCATGAATCCATCCTGTGTTGTATTTTCTTCTCCATTAAAAATTGAACAAAAAACCCCAAAATTGAACAAAATTTCCTTCTTAACATCACATTCCAAAAGCAGTATTTCTGTCTAGGAAATGTAGAAAGGGTTGTACATCTCTAGGTATTCAAAAAGAGTAAGAGCTCTTTTTTCATCATTCCTGAAAGCCATTTTAGCTTGATTTAATTTTGTTTTTTTTTAAACTTTGGTCATGCAAAGATATTTATATCAGAGCACTGTGCATTCTGAGGCAGAAGTTTACTGTCATAGGAAGACTTAATATTTCAGTTTGGAAATATCACTTACTGAAAATGAGACTAGTTATATTAAAATATTTCAAGCAAAATAAAAAATTTAAAGGTGCCTTTTGTTGTTTCATCTTGCATGTTAACATCCATTCTTTTCTCTTGTTTACATGAATTGACATTTATGAAGGAAAATTTTCAAAGTTATCAGTTTTCAAATTTTACAGTTTTCAAAGTTTATCAGACAGAGCTGGTGAAGACAATAGTAGTTAACAGCAAAGGAACGTAGTGGCCACTGTTATTGAAGGGACTTTCAAACTTTCACAACCCTTGTGACTTTTACTTTTTCTAATTCTCACATTCAGACACATTGTTGATAATAAATTCATTTTAAAGGTTGTTAATTCCTCTCAAATTAGGACGTTTAATGAATTTCTTTTGGGAAGAGAGAGAAAGACATGTTAAGAGAGGACAGATAATTTTGAATTTGGTGCACTATTTCATTACCTGATTGAAAAAATTATTCTTACTGTAAAATTGCATGAAATATGTCTAGTGTTGATCATTTACTGCAATGAAAATCTCACTGAGAGGAAAAGGGGAACCAGAAACTTTTGTTTTTAAAATTTATCTTTCTTTAAAGGCCTGGGGATCATTTTTGGGTTGTTTAATACCATACTCATAAGCCCACAAGGTGGCAGCATTTATTTACTTTGACAATAACTCGACTATTAGAGAATAGACAAAGTATGGCAATCAGTATCTTATAGTGAAGTTCATTCTCATGAATACCAGATGGTCCTAGGTTAACAACAGCAAGTGATAGAAAGGAGAGAACTTTTCTTACACATAGCAATAATGTCACATTGTGCATTTTTTCTTGAATTAAATATTCACTGGCCACCAGAGAGGAATGGTTTGAAACTGCATTGTTTAAACTTATTGAATACTTAGTAGCAATGGCTATTTTGTTGAATTCTTGGTTTGAATTTTGTGTACCTAGATTGTTATGTTTAAATTATTATACATTCCATCTGTAGTTTAGAGATTGTTTTAACATTTTTGCTTATATTTTCTCAAATTCTTGAAATAGAATTACATCAGGCTTTAGTAAATTTATAAGAAGAAAATGGTTATGTATTGTGGCATTTTTTGCTGCTGCTAGTGTAGCTTTTTGACTACTTCTTTTCAGATACCTTTATAAGTATTTTACATGACATTTTAAGTATTTCAGTAACTCAT